CTCGCACGCGGCCACGCCCCGCACGCGGCCGTTGGGCGTTTCGAGCGTGACGGCGCGCGGGCCTGCGCGTTGAGGGGACGCGAGGGGGTCAGGCCTGGTCCCGCTTACCGTCGCCTCGGGCGCTGCGAGGGGCGCGCTGCCATGCAGGAGCCGGGCAGCACCTCCCGTGCTGCTGTGGAGGAGGTGGGGGCGGGGCTGCAGGGCACCTGGCTGCAGAGGGTGACCCAGGAGTTGCCCCTGGACCCAGCCCCGCAGCCTGCCCTGCCCCTAGCGGTGGTGGCTGTGGAGCGGTACCTGGGCGGGGGTCCCGGGGCGGCTGGGCTGCCTCGGCCCCCGCCTGCCCCCAGTACTGCTACGACGTGACCCTGGCAGATGGCACCTGCCAGCGCCAGTGCTACCTGGTGCCCCCCCTGCACCGCCTGGTGCAGCGCGGCGCCCTGCGGGCCGGCTACCAGGTGCGCGCCGTGCGCTGCTCCTACCTATACGATGAGCGGCTGCTGGGCCGCGGCTTCCTGTGCCTGGAGCAGCTGGAGGTGGTGGGCGACCGCCTGGCCGCAGCGTGACCCTGGCAGATGGCACCTGCCAGCGCCAGTGCTACCTGGTGCCCCCCCTGCACCGCCTGGTGCAGCGCGGCGCCCTGCGGGCCGGCTACCAGGTGCGCGCCGTGCGCTGCTCCTACCTATACGATGAGCGGCTGCTGGGCCGCGGCTTCCTGTGCCTGGAGCAGCTGGAGGTGGTGGGCGACCGCCTGGCCGCAGCCCCGGGCTGGAGGGCGCCGCCCGCCGAGAGCCGCCGGCTGCCCCTGAAGGGCGGGAGGAAGCATTTCCTTCCCCTGTGGAACAATGAGGACCCGTACGGCGACCTGTGGGTGGTCGAGAAGCCACCGGGCCAGGTCGACGTCGAGGGTGAGTGGCGCCGGCACATGGGCGGTGGTACCACCTATCTCCTCGGCACCTGTTAGGCCTCGTCTGGAGTCTCGGCTGTGCTTCTGGGCGCCACGTTTCAAAAAGGACATGGAGACGTTCACGAGGGTCCAGAAGCCGACGCCAAAGATGATTGCAAGGTCACGTGAGAAGAAGCTGAAGGAGCTCACCATGATCAGCTAGCCTAAAAGGCGATTGAGAGGGGACATGTTAGCAGTCTTCAAATACTTGAAGGGCTGCCGTAAAGAGGAGGGAAAGTGCCCCTCCTCTCTTGCTGCAGTTGGCCATGGACCTGTGGCCTGAAGTTGCAGCCAAGTAGGTTTAAGTTGGATCTCAGGAAAAGTGTCTTCACTTTTAGAGCAGTGAGGCTGTGGAAGAGATGCTGTGGGGAGTTGTGGACTCGCAATCACTGGAGGGGTTCAAGAGGAGGTTGATCAGGCACTGGTCGGGGATGACCTGGGCATAGCTATGCCTGTGTCCTACTATGAGGATTTCCCAGGCTTCTGGGCCTGCTTCCCCCCACTTTGCTACCTGCATCAGGGTTTTTTTAAGCCTCCCTCAGAGACATTGGGTGTTGGCTGCAGTCAGAGCTAGGGATTGTATCTGGGCTATGCCGTCGTGGTTGCATTCCTCTGCAGGGGGGGCATGGCCTTCTCCCTAGGATCTCGTAAGTATATATTAACAGAAGCAGGATGTTGGCTACCATGATTCCCTTTTACCCATGGCAGGGGTGATGGCAGTTTTACCAAGAGTTTAAATTATGGATCTGTATAGGATGGTTTGAATAGGAATGATCCTGTCTCAGGCAGGGGGTTGGACTAGATGACCTCTGGAGGTCCCTTCCAGCTCTGCTTCTCTGTGATTCTATGAATTCACCTTAGGGTCTTGTTCACTGGGCATTGCTATACATTCAAATGAAAGCTGGATAAAAAGCAGCTATTGAGTTGGTATGCATTTTCAAGCACTAACTTTGTAGATGGTTGGCTCTTTTTTGTAGTTGGGTAGTGATTTTTATCATGTGATAATTACTTTGCACGTGTGGCCAGCCTACATTTCTTGTATGATTAACCAGTTAATTGCATAATATGTGTAACATGTAGCAGGGGCCACAGTGTCAGGCCCAGAATCCAGGCCATGAAAAACTGATCTGTCCTGTGGATCACCTAGCTGGCATTTCTCAAGAGGCCGTACCTTGGGAAGCATCTACTTTTGTTACCTTTGTTTGACGGGGTCCACAACAGTCACAGAAATGATTTCTGTTGTTTGTTGATTAACCGTTACTTACCTTAGATGGATAACATGAGCTTTAGTGAGCTGAAGCACACGTCATTTGATGCTGTGAAAGGATGTACACAAAGCAGTGCATGAGAAGGAGAGAGAAAAAACCCCGGATCAGAGGCCGGACCCTATTGTGTTGTTTGCTTAACAAATATATGTTTGATCTCAACAAGTGAAAGGTTATGTTTCCTGCCCACCAAACATAAACAACCTAGATTGCAACATAGTTAAACGATATCCCTGCTTTGTTTCTAGATATTTGGGAAAACATTTTAAATTAAGAGCCACTGGCTGGGCCCTGATCTTTTAGGGTGCCCAAAAGTGTTTTCTCAGAATATTATTTTTAAACAGGGGCCTACATCCATACTTGAAGTAAAATCTGAGCTGAAATATCTGAACTGCAGTGCCTGCAGGACCCGTAAGGAGATATTTGCGACAGGCCCCTGCCAGTGCATGGAGGTGTGAATTGTGCTCGGTGTAGAGAAGTGCCAGGTGCTGTCACGCAGAACTTGCTGCATGACCAGGGGCCTCATTCATTGAACTGTGTAAGTTTTAGAATAGTTTTCCACTGCTTGTGGTGATGGTTTTTGTGCTGCAAATGTGGTACTCGCGCTTTAGACGTATGTCACCACAATTTAAAAGTATAGTCTGTGGTATGAGCAAATGACTGAGAACTCAGTTCCAACATGTGTGACATTAGCAAACAGATTCTTATGATAGAAACTTTATAAAAATGCACAACATTTTGTTCACTTAGCAAATAGTTTGCCACCAGACATGTTAAGATCTGACTTTATGAACTATTTTATCATTTTGATTTTTCCATAGCATCCAAATTAATCTCCCTTGGTCATCTGGAAATGAGCTGGAGAAGCAGAATTCACTTCCATCCCTTGCTTGTGAGAATCATGCACAAATCTAGACTAAGGTACTATGGGAAACCTGACAAAAGACTGGACGTTCCATATCAGGTAAAAGAGCAACATGAATTAGACCTGTCATATGAGTAGCTCTAAAATGCATGGAAGCAATTTAATTACCATATGGTTAAGGTTCATGCATTCAGTAACAAATAAACTCTAAAAATGTTACTTTTATAAAAATGTAGCCATTTAAAATATGGAACTGATAAATCCATAAAAGTGTAGCCATTTAAAATATGGAACTGATAAATCCAGGTAGATGTGATTTCATGATTGAACCTGCAGTTTGGTGACGGACAGTCACAAATAACCGTAGTGTAAGAGTAATGATGTAACCATGATGGTCTAGCATTTATGCAAGTGACAAGGATTTCTGAGGGTGATGTTTTATTGAACCAAACATGTAGTTGGGATAGAGTTAGGCAAGCTTTTGGATGCAAGATACTCTTCATCACGGATAGCGAAATTCTCTAGAGTATCATGACAAATTGTCTTTTCGGTGATTGAATCTGTGTGTTTATTTGGGGGGAGAAAAATGAATTTAAGGTGCAGAGTGAGTAATAAGTTGTTAGTTTGATCCTTTAAAGATTGCAAGTATCTTTATTAACGTGAATGGTGCACTAATGCCATTAAGACCCTCTTTTTCATAAATCTTTATTGATGCCTGATGAGCTAATAATCCACTTTACTTTTTCTCTGCATTTTCTATTTTTATTTTCTTGTGTACCCCTACCCAGGGTATTTCCTTAACCACCTAAAAGTGGAACAGATTAAGGTGAAACTGATTCTAACTCTTTCTGTTCCTTTCAGCACCTAGCAGTGCTAAGAACAGAAATAATTACATCAGTTTGATTCTCATGCAGGGAGGTATAGATTTCTTGCACTCCTCTTGTTGAATTTAACCTCTTGGTGCTAACTATGGCTTCAAGTAAGTGTGACTAGTATTGAAACTACTAGGCAAACTACTGTCAAGTCAGCGGGAATTGTAATCGTTATTTAAAAACAACAGTTGTTCTCTTCTGTGTTACCAAAGGTCAAACACTTATTTTTTTCCCCCTCTCTTAGGCTTATTTTGAAGTTGCTGACAGTTCAGGCATGATGTCAATGGTTTTGTGGAATTCCTTATGTCCTGAATGGTATAACAGTATGAAGGTTGGCACAGTGCTTCTACTTGAACAGTATGCTATCAAAGCCAGTTATCCATTTAAAACACAGGCAACCCCAGGGGATTCGCAGATGAAGAGATTTGCTACAATTGGTTAAGTATTCCAGAAATCTGTTCCTATTCAATTAAGTGTAGCTATATAAAGAAAGCATTATTGCAACTGACAGTTACAGGAGCCATGGTGAGATTAGGTAGCCTTTCAGCTGACTTGCTTGTGTTCCCATATAAAAGCAGGTGAAATGCACAGGACATTGATGGGGTTTCCTGGAGCACTGAGTCTTGGAATTACACCCCATTGCAGATCTGTAGGGCCAGTTTGCTGCCAATCTTTAGTTTCTTGAGAAGTGTATCCATGTAAGTTATATGCTTCCATATTTTGTAACGGGGAAGAGTCCTGTAGCTCTGTTCATCCAGAAGGAGGCCCTAGCTGAAGGACTCCTCTTTATATTGCAGCTCTTTCAGTGAATACAAAACTTGAGCCTCCTTTGGATACTTTGGGATCTCTGCAACCAACAGATGTTTGTAGTGACAGCAGACAGCTTTTTTAAAACAAAACAACTTTTATTAGTCAACTTGGATGTAGACAAATGTATCAGATCAAAGGATAACAATTGTATCAAATCAAAGGATACTCATATAAGCTGCTATGATGCAGCTGTTAACCTGCATGATTCTGTAGCAAAACCACTCCAGCTTTATTTACCCTGCTTCATTCATTATCCAAGTTAGGGTGACTTAGCTAACTTGCACCACTGCAGGATCCAGCAGAGGAAAGTATGAGATCATAGCAGTTGATACATGCTTTCTAGGCGCAGCCCAACCCCACATGTTTTAAAGCAGCAAAACAGATCTGTTCATATTCTGTGTTAGTGTAGCACCCAGCCTGGGTGGGTGCGTTAAGTACTCCCTTTGTGTCTGTGACTTCTGTCCAATGCACTGAAGTAATAGTGCCATAGGGAGCCCTTGATATGCTGATTCTGTTGAGGAAGGAAATGACTTTCTCTCTGCTGTTTCCCAGTGTGATTTAAAGCCAAGGAATGCCAGTGCTCTCTGTGCAAAGTACGACCTCCCCACCCTGGGCTTTGTCATCAGCAATTCTTTCTCCTGTCCTGAAAATGAACTCCCTTTCCCTAATGTACTCACATTTGAATTAATCAGTGACACCCTTTCAGAAAAGCCACTCCATTTCCTTGAAACAAGCAAAGCTGTGTATTGGAGAGGGATGGCATATGTGTCTTAGTCTTTTATTAGTGGTGACAGTTTTGCTAATGTAGTTGCCACTCTGCATGAAAATAAACAGTATATGGTACTGCTCAAAGCTGTGTATTTTCTGCCTAATATATTTTGCCTTAAGACCAGATCTTAACATCTGAAGTGTTTATGATGAGTTGGCAGGAAAGGGAACTGTTCTGCCAGATAGGGAGATTTCGGCGTGGGGGGAGGGGAAGAAGATGAATGAAAACTATTAATGATTACAAGTGAGCCTAACTATAATTATAAATTGTCACAGACCTTCCTGCAGCAAAGGGGCATAATAAAATATGCCAGTCTGAGAGGACTTCTTATGTAAACAAACCATTTTTAATGGTTTGGTGGCATTCCACAAGTGTTAATGTGCAAATGACAACAGGGCAATCAAAATCAACATGAGAAGTAAGACCAAGAGGCTATAAATAGTAATAGCCACACAATAGGAGAATGAAGACAGTAACTCGGTGAAGTGTAATGGGGCATCTGACCCATCTTCTTTCCTCTTAAATGTGTACGGTATTTCTTGTATTTTTTTCTCCTTTCAACAAAGAGTTACTCTTTTTTTTACTTAAAAAAATACATGTCATAGATTGATGGATGAGCTGTTTTCATGGGCCCTGTAAAAATAGAGAATAGTACTGTAAACTGCAAGAATATCAGAAAAATCTGTAGGGTAATAGATATGGTCCATTTTATATAACTATCTGAAAATGCATTTGCTTTGTTATATTTTTCAGAATGATCCTGTCAGTGAAATGTCATATTATAGTAAATTACTAAGATGTCTAAGATGTATAAAATAGCTTGATTTGAATATTCTTTTATCCATATACCTCAAAGTATCAGCTGCATAAACAGACACCATAAACCATCCCTTTTTGTATCACCCAACCCTGTTTCCAATTAAAAATGGTTCTGTTAACCAAGCTGTCTACAGCCTGAACCATTCTATTTGCTATGTTTAACTTTGCAGATGCCGTGGAATGGCACGGAGAGGGAAATAGCAATGCAACCTCTACTTTCTTTGCCTTCTGCCCCCATGACATCTAGTTCATAACTGCTTGGGCTCATATCAGAACTTGTGCCAGTGGGCTTTACCTGCCTTCCCTTTTGTTTCATCTCTTGGAATTTATCTGAAAATTATGGTGCTCTTTGAGGGTGAAACCAGTGGACAGAGTGGTTAAGAGCCAGTCAGTATTAATATCAGTACTAGTTGACAGAAGATACTGAAAAAAGCCTCCCTGGCCACCAACAGATTGATCTATACCAGTAGTTTCAACCTTGGGTGCCTTGACGTCCTTTCAGGGGTGCCATTCAATGTTAGCACTGTTAGGTGTGCAAACATGACTCACAAGATCAACTCCATTTTTAAATAGGAATCTGTAATGTTAAAATCATTCTGACCTGTTGTGATCTGCAGAAGATACTGAAAAAAGCCTCCCTGGCCACCAACAGATTGATCTATACCAGTAGTTTCAACCTTGGGTGCCTTGACGTCCTTTCAGGGGTGCCATTCAATGTTAGCACTGTTAGGTGTGCAAACATGACTCACAAGATCAACTCCATTTTTAAATAGGAATCTGTAATGTTAAAATCATTCTGACCTGTTGTGATCTGGATTATTTGCAACAGGACAATTGCTCTGTAGTCCAAAAAAGGGAGTGAAAACTAAGCTGGCATTTTTCAAAGAGCGCCTTGAGTCTTTGAGTGGTGTCTCAAGTATAAAAAGGTTGAGAACCACTGGTCTATGTAGTGCTTTTCCTATATATATATTTTCCCCTTTCTTTGTCATGGTTGTAGTCCTTACTCTATCCACATAGAGATCTAGAATCAAGGGGGTTTGTTAGTAATTTAGAAAATGTAATAAAATTGTTTCATTTTATTCATTCTGTCAAAATAAGTTTTCCATTGCTCAAATGCATTTTCATGCTTAAAATACTGTTCTGTCTGTTTTCCTCTCCTCTTTCCCCCTCAGAAATCAGCCTGAATTTTCGAGATCCTCCAACTAAAATTACTGTTATTTCCGAATCAATGGTTAAACCGGAATGGAGATTACCTGAAGTTAAATACCGGTTTATAACTAGGTAAAATAAAGATTTCTATATTTCCTGAAGGGTGAGTTTTTGTTAATTAACATTGAATATTGAATGATATTATAGAAAAAATATAATTGTGGAGGGGGGGCAAGGGACACCCTTTCTCTTCTGTTTGTCATTTAGGAATTTTTTTGAGTCATTTCCCTTTTGAGTCATTAACGTGTGTGTGTGTATGTGTGTGTGTGTAAAAAAAAAAAAAAAAAAAAAAAAAAAAAAAAAAAAAAAAAAAAAAAAAAAAAAAAAAAAAAAAAAAAAAAAAAAAAAAAAAAAAAAAAAAAAAAAAAAAAAAAAAAAAAAAAAAAAAAAAAAAAAAAAAAAAAAAAAAAAAAAAAAAAAAAAAAAAAAAAAAATTAAATATTTGACAAAAATTATAGTTTTAATGGTGTAATTGTGTGTGTGTTTGTTTTGGACAGAACATGGTGAAGATTTTTGGACAAGCCGCTGGGTACATGTTATTGATGGGACCTCAAATCAGCCGTTCATACTGGAATTGTTTGCCACATCTCAGCCAGATGTGTTTGAACACATTCACCCAAGTATTTATCTTTTATAATATTATGATGATTGTATTTTCTTTTTTATTTCAATGCAAAATACATTCTTAGATGAGCATGAATTTCGAGCACCAGACATCATTACCTTAAAAAAAAATAGCAGTATAGATTTTCCTTATCCCGAATCCAAAAATAAATGACCTGAATGAAAGCAAACCCAAACAGTGCACCCCTCAACAAAATTGGTAACCCTTACCATGCCATAACATGCCCAGTAATCTAGGTAAAATGGGCTGTTTTGCTCTGGTTCAGACGAAACTGAATGAATCTGAGTACATAAGAGAACATCTGACTGACACTCCCATTCTCTCTTCCGAGTTGAAGCCCTTCTCATAAAAGTCCACTGACTCTATAGCTATGTCAGTTCTGTATAGTGGGGAGGTAGTCTCTCAACTAAACAAGTTCAAAGCCATTTAGAGCTTTATATGTCACAAGTAACTCTTTAAACTCCACTCAGAAAACAATATGAAGCTAGTGGAAATCACAGAGCACTAGTGAAGTGTTTGGAAGGATAATCAGGTTAATAAGGCTCCCCGTTTGTTCATAATCTTCAGTTTCTGCATCAAGTTGTTAAGAGAGAACTTTGTGTTCTTGAGTTGACCTGAGTTAGAAATAATTGTAGGAACGTCAATAAACATTGCTAGGAACATACTGACCAGGTGGAGATAGAAATTCTGCTTTCTTTATGATTGTCTAATAAAAGCAATGGATCCAAGTACTGCCTCCAGCTACTAATATCTACTAACAAATGGAGAAACACGCACCACCCGTTAGATGGGCTAATGCAGTTATTGGCTAGCTCTCATCCATGACTGTACTCCCCTGATCCCTGGTACTTGTCAGAACTGGCTGACAAGATGAGAGAGTGCATGCAAAATCTGGATATAATTGAGATGTATGTAGTACCTACCCCTTGGCTCACTTTTCT